CTTCAATACTATTTGTTACAACTGGAATTGCCAGTAAACATATAAGATTTAGCAACCCTTGCATTGCACTGCAAATTTATAGGTATTTCCAGTTGTAGCAGTGTAAAATGACTATATGTTTCTTACAAAATTATTACTTTTCCTTTTCAAGTAGGGACATGCCCATTAACAAATCTCTTGGAAATTAGTCATTTACTTTGCTTTAGCCATACCTATACATCAGGGTAGGCCTTGTTGCTCATATAGTGTGTATAAACTAGAGGGCTGGGACCAATGTAGGGACATTGTAACTTGTTAATAATAACATTCAAATGCTGCAGTAAGCATTCATATGTAATAAGGTGTGTCAATGGGTGTGGTCTGAACCACACCTCTTAAAATTGATCACACATAAGTTATTTGGTAATTGTATTTACCATACATTCAGTTAACATTCATTCAGTTAAATGGACACGTTCAGGGAAATGTTCCTAGGCTATGAGAAGGACAAAAGAGAAGGACACGTTCAGATGAACAAGTCACGGTAGAGGAAGTAAACATTAAATTGGGCATGCAACAGACTATGAATTAATAGTTATAACATGAGTTTAGAGAGTAAAAACAGAACAATCAGACGTAGAATCAGGAGTAGGCACGTGTAGAACACTTCTTGCGACCAGTATTAGCTCTTTTACCACCCAAAGATACTCATTAGTGAAGAAACACCAGGAACATTACTAGTAGCCACTCGACTAACCATTTTGCCTTAATTTTAGGGACATGGCCACATATTATGAATAGTCATTAATACTACACGCCATCATTAATGATGTCATCTTGAAAATAACAGGCCACTTCTTCAAGATGACGTGCTTCAGTGAACGTGTCCCTTTAACTGTACAAATAGTGATTTAAACCACAAACAAACATCTGTTATTGTTAACAGAATGTTTGAATGTTAATTTATACATTTGTCCCACCTCTATGATAAACAAAGACAGAAATAAATTTTAAGTCATGCCTCACTCACAAACATGGTATTTTTGTCCCCAGGTTGGTCTATTTTTCCTACATCACACATAGCCTGGGTGTAAGGACAAACCTGGCTACTGTTAACCATAGGTGAGTGAGACACACCATTGAATTGAGAGATAATTGAGCAACAGCGTATAACCAGTACATGCAAGAGTCCATGATATGGAAGTGGGAAGCACCCAAGCACTATCAAGACACTCTTCTGCTAGCTTTTCATAGTGAATACACTTCATCTACAAAATGTATATCACTGTATTATCACAAGAAGGATTAGGCCATTTTCATCAGGCCAATATGTAATTGACATTGCCACTGCCACTGAAGTTATGCTAGACAGAAGTCATAATTTGCTGACTGTGATCATAGTCCTTCTTTCCATTTCACTCATGCCATAATCTCTTCTAATGTTGTGGGCCTCCACATATCCAATCATTACTTATGCCTAAGCCATAATATGCTCACCTGTCAAAACTGTGGGCAGCTTTGGTTATGACTGACATATGGGATGATGATAAAACAGCAGGTCAAAATGAGTCTGGGTATGGGGGTGGAAGAATAATTTCATTTGATAAATTAATCAAATTACAGTGTTATAAAAAGAGAATGTCCTGTAGGCTTAAAGAGAAGAGAGTGGAACTGTGTAGGACTTAACAGGCTAAAGCAGTAAGTGTTGTGACTATATCAGTGTAAGTCTCACTCATCACTAAAAAATATCATTTTAATACTCTCCTATGAATGAAAATTCTCAACCAGTATCAACTTTCTTCAGCAATCCAAAAAATTGGGCTAATTTATAAAAAATACCTTGTGCTTTAACCAATATGAAAAACGGCTCCAAAGTCACATCCAATTTTATTACATTTTCTGATACATATTGATGTCCTTGTGCTATGTAGAAAGTTGGAGCAGTTTCTGACAAATACTTTCCAGGCTATAAGCATTTTTAGAAATGAGCCAATTTTTGAAAAAGGCTATAACCCATGAATTTTTCAAAAATTGGCTCCAAAATCATTCCAAATTTTTATTAAATTTTCTCATACATATTGGTGCCCCTATGCTTTGTGTAAAAGTTTAGGCCAATTCCAACAAGAAGCTTTTGAGTTATGGCCATCTATAAAAAACCATGTACCAAGTATTCATGTACTCTATGATATACATGTACATGTAAGACAGCATCTGGTAATTATGAGACATCTCTGCATAGATTCAAGATTGCTTATTTTGTTAAGCATCTATTCTGTCCTCTTTCAGCCACTAATAAAGCAGTATAAATATGATTGGCAAAAAGTGTGAGAGAGCACTCGTGTTTTACTGTAGATATGATCTTATAGCATCATCGCTAGTTAAGAGGCTCTCATTGTTACTAAGACTCCTTGACACTGTACCTTCAATAACCCTGGAAATCTACTATTCATGATTCTCTGTTGAAGGTCCATTTTGTTCAGCTCAAGATATGGGCCAATTTCTGCACAATACAAACCCAAGAGCTGCGGATTTTCCATTCGTCTCTGGTGATCACAATTCCCACGTGAAAATTTATAACACTCAATTGACTGATATTATTAATCATAAAAGGAAAGCGTCTAGCTGCCTGCAGTAGCTGAAACAACACTGTGTAGTCTAAGACCAGAAGCATAGGTATACCTACTGGAAACACATGTAAAAGTATTGCATGGAGAATGTTTGAAGAATCTGTAGACATCATACTAAGAAACATCGGATTTCTACTGAAGTCTGAGTGGCCCACCATTGCAGAAAATCCAAAACGGCCAGAAAATCTTGTTGAGCAACCATTTTCTATTTACCACACCCAGTATGTGGGAATGCCAAAAATTCGCAAGAAAATACTACACAGTGATGTATCAGCTATAGGTACTATAGGGCAGTTAGACATTCACTAGGGAATTGTATCTACTCTTGCTATTTTGTTACTTTCCTTAGTAACAAGTAGAAAAAAAGGAAGGACCAAACTAAAGAAGACAGAAGTGCTAATGTGTGGATGCTTCCCGCCCATATTACTCACTCATCATGGACTCTTACAGGACAATATGAATTAACAGACTCCACGTTTGGCAAATTTATCATTAATAATCAACCAATTGTCAAAATTAAACTTTCTGAATTTTTCCCACTATGCAGTACTTTTATCGAAAAAGATCCCCATTCCATAAGTCTGATAAAATTAAGGCAGTTTCACAAATCTCCCTATACACATCGTAAATGCTGAATAATCAACAATGAAAATTTTCGCAGACTAACAATTTCTCGTTTTTACAGAGATTAAAATTAATTAGTCACAATTTAATTTCCCAGGGGCTAATTTTACAAATAGTGTCAGACTGCATAATAAAAAACACCATAAAACATTAGCAGGTACATGTATACCTAACCAGTATTATTTACCATTCAATAGATGAACCAGATTCAAGCCAAACAAGGCAGTAGCATTGTTACGACTGATGATCTTCAATATCCTTCAGCAAATACTCCCTAATGTATAAAAACATTATAAATACATGTATGTATAATACATAATATAGTACATGACATGTATGTATTAATCAGGCTAAACTCCCTGTACTATAGTACAGGGTCTCTGGCCAAATTTCGCCCAAAAAATTAGAATAGATTTCTCAATTATAATATTTTTTCTAATACATATACGGCACTGGTCAGCAATAAGTTGACAAACGAACGATCGCTGAACTATACTAAACTAGTTTGGTGAACGCAATAAAATGTGATAACATACAGATAAGCAGCCACATTAAGTTTGAATTTAAACAAGTTACATTTGCCAGAAATTGTGGTAACATCTGAGCATGGATAATGTTAGTTTACAACTGGTATGTTTCTATGAAAACAATAAACTATAGCAAACTCAAACGCAACTTAAACGCAAAACGTGTCAACTTATTGCTGACCAGTGCTGTACATGTTCTTATGCTGTATAACAAGTTTGAGTTAATTCCGATCAAAATTAGATTTTTTATGAATTTTAAAAGTTACTCCAAAATCGGAACAAAGTCCCTGTACTATAGTACAGTGTCTTTGACCAAATTTTGCCAAAAATGACTAGAAGAGAATTCGTAATTTTTATAATTTTTTCTGATACATATACATGTTCTTATGCCATGTAGCAAATTTGAGCCGATTCCAATGACATCAAAATTTTTTACAAATTTTTAAAGTTACTCCAAAAGCACTAAATTGTAGTGTTTGTCAGCTCATGAAGGATCCACTTAGCATGCTTCGTGGGAAACCCTGACAGTACCATACATGATACAATAACTGTTGCAATTCAAAACAACAACAACACCCTACGCAAATATGACAAATATGGCAAAAAGAGTTTTAAAATAATTAAGATTACTCATGCTCGTGAAGTTGTGAACATACATGTACATGTACATCATGTGTACATTCCAAGAAAAACCAATTATAGCCAGAGACTTTATGTTATAGTTTATTTTACCAAAAAAATATATTATTAAACTTTCTGATGCACATTCAATTTTTTGACAGCTAATTCATTTTATTTTGAGGATATGGCCATCTACTGGGCAACACTGAGTGAGTAGCAAAAAACTTGATAAAAACAACTTAAAATTTCAGTGTACAACAGAATGGCCAGTACTTAAATTTAGGCTATAACTAAACATACAAGTAACTAATTCAAGTGAAACAATTCAAGTTAACGGAGAGCTGTTATTAATAAACTTAACTCATGGCAATACTATAGGGGTATAAAATTCCATGGGGCATATATTCAATTTCACGGAATTTTGTGTGATTTTACCCACAAAAATTTAATGCCTTGAAAATACTCACTAAAATACCTAATTTAAACTACAAAATAACTTAAAATACTAATAATCCGCCACACTAGATTAGGCAATCAGGGCCATGAACTCAACCACAAGAGCACGTGGCATGGATGTATATAACTACTCAATAGCGAACGGGTATACTTAAACACAACTCACTTGGCCGACAATGTTTTTACATTTCTGGTCTTAGAAAACCGAGACGACAATTGGTGTTTCTCCAAATGTCTGAGTCTCTCTCCTTCTCCAGTCCTCGCTCCGAGGTTCTAGCCGAGGTTCTAGCGTGAAGGTGGTGGGTGTGGTTTATTTAGATACCTTAATTAATTAATTAATTAATTGACCTACCTTCCAGAAATGAAGTATGGCCAGTGATCTAAAGACATGTAAGTTAGCACTTTACAGCTTCTAATTTACTTTAATTTGTTTACAGATATTAGGATTAGGTCTAAAGCTCAGGCTAAATGGCTTAGGTTTCATGGTTACTTTTGCTGCGGGCCCAGCCTTAAAGCAATAGTCACTCCATGGTGTCCTTTCATACCACAAGATGCCCCACCTCCACACTCAGTGCCTTACATGCAAATGCACTTGATGAAAGAGTCTAGAAGTGATACTGTTGATGGCATATATCAGATATACAAGGATAGAGATAAACTTGAAGTTCTCTTCATTATTGCTAGAGAGGAGCAACAGCAGCTATTCTCACCTCCAGATCTTCGTTTTAGGATTATATACATTTCAAGGAGACATAAGAAAGATGTAATGGAACTGGCAGAGAAGGGATGTGATCTCGAAGCTACACTTAATATCACTGAGTCTAAAAGTGAACGTAGGTGTTCAATTTTGTTTTTCTTTATTTTCCTTAACGTATGTATATAGTTGGTGAAGCTTTACTTCCTAAAGAGTCAGAGATATATACTGCTTTACTTCATGCTGTGCATTATGTTATTGAGAACCGTGTTACTGTGTCATTGGCTTCAGGAATTCCTGAAATTTGTCCCGACGATAAGAGACTCCTTTCCTTTCTTTTGAAATGTCTCAATTATCAGTATATAGAGGTACACATTTTTACATGGAAGATGGGGTTTTGTTAGATTTTCATACCATAAAAATAATACTGTTTTAAATTTTAGTGCAGCTATATAAGATGCATATTTGACCTCATTGCCGCCTATTATGGGCAGTACTCTCAGAGGCATAGAGGTCATGCAAGAATAATAGTGAAAGAATAACAGTTATTATAATTCCCTTATCAATTTTTAAGTTGGGGTGTGAACAGTAAAGAGGAGGTAAAATGCATTGTATTAAAGTCCATTTGCATTCACCAGAGCCCAGGAAGTGATTAGAAACCCCACCCAATAATTAACACAATAAAATAATATTGTGAAAAGTATGGCTGTACTTTCTGCATGGGTTATACAACCAACTTGGAGCTAAAGAGCTACAGCTGCTTCTTAAGTAGTACAATAGATGCGGCAAAAGGAGAGGAATGCAATGGTATGTTTATTTTTACAATAGAACTTGTAAGTCAAAAGTTATTGCAAGAAAACAAGGGCTCAGGTGAACAAAAATGGACTTTAGTTTCATGTATTGCAATTGTATTTTTAGGAGCATGTCAATCTAAAAGCATTATATTCCAGTGTAGACCATATTTTTCACCTCTTGCAGCAGCCAATCCACTTTGATTACATGTTTCCTAAGGACTTCATCTTTTATATTGCCTTTGCTTATACCAACTATACGTAAGTTTTCATAAATTTATGATACACTTGTAAATTTATTCCAATAATTTTTTTGAGCTAATTTTAATAATAATGGAACTGAGTAAAAATTTGCATACCATGCAGCAAGTGAAGCGCATGTAGTAACTGAATTAATGCAAAAACTGCATCCTAATTTTAAAGCAATCCTGGTATAATATACATTGTTTAAAATGAAGAAAATGGTATCTGTGAGCAGATAAAGTAGTGATGACATTTTATTATACTTTTGTTTTTAGCAATGAATCCGTAGAGAAAAGTGCTCATGTAGTTATGCTTCAGTATCTGCATAAATTAAAAAATGTTCCGATAGAGACTGTAGCAGAGCAAGTGACATACTTTTTAACACTGTGAGTTGCAATAATTGTTTCCATTGAATATAATGCTTTTGTTCCCTGTTAATTTTAGTGGAGATTTTTTAGTTAACATGGGTGGTATAAACAATGTATGTAGTGTTTTTGACCACACCGTAAAATCATTTTTAAAGCATTGTGAATTGTATGTGAAAGCAGGAGGAGTTTCTGAATTGTTTCATGTGGCTCTTTTATCAAGTAGGCACCTGTTAAGAATATTTTAACCCTTTATGTACTTTAGTATCTATTGCTGTCAAGATTAATAATGCTGATAAACTAAAATCAACAAAAAAGTATAATGATATTTGGAACAAGCGATTGACTGAGGTACTTAAAATTATAATACAATATTGCTTATAAGTTGATTTTCATGGCTAAATCCAAAAATAAATCAGTCACACACAATCTATGATTATTTATTGTATATTTTACAGTGGAAATTTTGGTGGCTTATGGGACAAAGATGTCATTTGTGCAAGTGTTTTTTGTATTCTATAGTATGCCAAATTATAAAATTTTGACTGAGATCCAAATTTTCTTCAATTAGCCTTTAATGTAACAGTTTTTATTGACTCAATTTATTTCATATTTTAAATTTCTCTACTAGTCTACCTCACCTTTTCTTTCAGTGATTTGATTTAATTTTCTATTATACAGTATTACAAGTCTGGTTTCAATCAGGTTGAGTTGCGTTGCCTAGAGGAAGGATTGAAAGCAATGACAATAATACTGGAAGGCTCTCCACATTTAATGGCTGGATGGAAAGATTTTTATGTCATTTTTTCTAGCAAAGTTCACACTTTGGAAACCATGAAGTGAAGATTATGTATAGGAGGCTGACCTAATCAAGGCCTCTATCATACATTATTACACATTCACATACTAGCCTATCTATAGGCATGAATGATGGTAACTTTATTGTTACCATAAAAGATTTTATGCATGTGAGACATTAAGGGTCGGCCACTCAGGGCTTGACATACGTATGAACAGGCTAACAAACAGAATGACCAGTGCCTTTGCCCAATAACTTTCTTTACTAGTTGAAACATAAGAAGAAGTGATATACATGTACATACAAATAGACAGATAGACAATAATAACAAATATTATGTATTAATAGATGAAACTAATGCTCTCATTTTTTGATTTTGAGATATGATAGCCCCAAGGTCCCATGTCTCCCTATAAGTGGGTGCCCTTATGCAACAATTAGAGAATAATATCACATGCAATATAGTTCATTGTTTTTAATAGAGAATTTATTACTCAAAGTGTGAAGTATCTGATAAGATCAGGAGAAGATGTTTCGTTTAGAATAGATTTTCTGCAGCCATTGACATATATGTGCTCGAATGCTTCACGCAAGAAAAAGATGGCAAGTCATTTTAGTGTTGATGCTAATAATGTAATAAATGAAGTAAGTCATTTGCATACATTTTTTACCCGAAAAAATTTGTAATTTTTGCGGCTTCACAAAAAATTAATTCTCTTTTCATTAGGGAAAAGAATTTTTAGCATGCCTGATTTCGTTAATTGATGAGCAAAAGTGGAATGGATATGACTACTATATGATACTTGAGAGTTGGATGAGAATCATTTTTAATCTAATCGATCTATCAGAACAATTACATAAATCTCAGTTATTGCAATGGATACGTGAGGGACAGATCAATTCAAGCTACTTTGACTATGAATATAGTTTTAACAAAAAAGTAAGAAATTGTTTACTTTTGAGTTTGAAATTTCATTTATTTCATACTGTATAGTTGGAAGATTTCCTGTTAAGGTCTCAAAATTTGTCAGCCGAATCATTAGTTAGCATTTTAAGTGCAGTATCAAGTAAACATTTTGACAATGCTAAGGTTATTATTCATTTTCAAGATAATTTATGCATTCAGTATTATTCATAATAACCTGAGGAAATGATCATAATGTTGTTGCAATGGCAAGTACCGCACCCAATTGTGGGAAAAGATTGCATGGTTACAATGGAAAATGCTTATTGCAAAGGCTTGAATGTCCTTGAGAAACTAAGTCATCCAGGTCTTGAAGATACAAACAACATAAATTTACCACAAAAATAGTTAAATTTGTAGAAAACACTAGTAAAACAGTAGTAGTCTCCTTGCTCTCTTGAGTCTCTTCATTCCCACTACTCCACTATAAG